GACCAACCGATCTTTAAAGACGAGCCGGCGCCCGGCGGAGAAGGAGGAGAAAATTCCCGAGAAGTGGCGGCAGAAGAAGAAGCGGCGGTGATCAACGAAGATGAAGAGAGAGAAGAGGAGGCTGAGTCTAAGAAGATTAGATACCCTTCATCCAGAGAGATAGAAAGAATGCCCTTCCACTGCCTTCTTCCTCCCATGCACAATACTCATTTCGTTAATCTATTTTATTTTTTTAATTTTCCTCTTTTTATTAATTACTATTATTTTTAATAAAATACTTCTTTATTTATTTATTTATTTATTTAGTTATTTTCCCTATCAAGTATATTAATTGACAATGATATACTTCGTCCGTTTTAAAATAGTTGACGTTTTGGTTGTTGCACACATATTAAGAGAACTAATAAATATGTGTTGATTTTAGAGATCAGAAAAGCATATAATGTGACTAAAGTATCCCTATCGTTAATCTTAGTTTCATTAATTTGAAACCGATGGAGTAATTGTTAGTGCTGCAAAAAGTGCACTAATACGTTCTTTTGTTGAGTAATTGTTCGATGGTTCGAGAGTTTTTTTTATTACGTTTTCTTCGTATTTTGCTTCCTTTAGGATTTTATTCGTTTATGTTTGCAATTGCAGTGTTTTTAAAGGTGTTTTTCAGGCATATTATTAGATATGGAATATTAGATATGGAACCGATCATGGAGTAGATGAAGAAAGTCGAGCAAAAAGTGTGAAGAAAAAAGGTTTCGCTATGCAGCGCGTCTCAAAAGCCATATATACAGGAAAACGGGGAGACGGATATGGGAAAACGGCATATCCCAAAAATAAAGATACATAAAATTGGGGGAAACGTGTAAATATTAAAAATATAGGGTTATATTTATGAAACCATGTATAAGTTTTGATTTATATATAAGTTAATTTTTTTATATTTTCATACAAACATATTTAAAATACATTTTACTATCAACCTTCAATTAGCAATTGATCATTAAATGATAATATATATAATTAAAAAATATATATTTAAAAATTTGTTATTCAAATATGCTCCTCTCTCGATAAAAGCACAGAAATCAAACCCCCAGCTCTCCATTCTCTCCAAGTTTATTAGTACTACATGTGATAGTAAGTTGAAATTTTGAAATATTCAGAGAAGAAAAAAGAGTGATTAACAGTTAAGAATTAATTCGGAATCGAAAGTACGATAGAGCAATAGAGAAATTGTGCGAACTCATAGCAAATCCCACAAGAAGTTGTTGATATCATTTCCGAGCAACAAATTAAATGTGCGAAATAATTATACAGACGAACTGTGCGAACTCATACGGCAAATCCCACAAGAAGTTGTTGATATAATTTCCGAGGAACATGAACAAATGTTCGGAAACTACCAACTTCTTCGAAATATTAATGCAGACGAACAACAAGTCATTATTAGTAATAATAAAAATTGATATGCCTCATTGGGTCAACCCAATGGGCTTACAATTTATTTACCTACGGGGCTACGAGCCCAATATTGAAAACCACAATCACCGAGGCCCAATCACTTTCAAATAAGGTTTGAGCCCAACAATCTCATCTAAGCTTTCATCTAAGCTATAAATAAATGTTTCAACTCATTCTTCAAGGTACGTCATATTATCTGAGCAATACTATTAAATGTATTCTCTGGACTATTTCTACTATCAGCACGTCTGACTTGAGCGTCGGAGGGGTTTCCGCCGGATCAAACCCGGCCTAGTTCACCTATTCTATGATCGCAGGTATCTCAAGGTCATCAAGCTCCTGAGCCAGTGATCCACTCTGCTCTTCCAGCTCGTCCTACTTCAACTATCTAAGGTGATCTAACTTTAGCATCATCAATAATCAAGAAGAAGAAGTGATAATCATAGCATCAGATGATCAACAATGGAGCGTTCACCAAGTGATCTTTTCGTTTGAAGGTTTTTCCTCTTGGCCGACACCCCTTTCTTTTTTGGTATTAGGTAAGAAATATCAAATTTCTTGCTGCAATTAAAGAGTATCATATTATGGAGAAAAGTTTTCAAAATTATCTGAAAGATTGCTTCACTTTTAAAAAATTAGGGCTTTTTGTGTAAAAATCAAAACTTTGTGTTAATCTTGGAATATATATTCTTACATGTCTAATCCATGTTATAATATGTGAATCTAAGTATTTGGTGGTTGAAGATTTAAATATTTCGGATTTTTGGGAATTTTGGCTAAAGAAAATGAGTTTTTGGGAATTTTGGGGTTGCATGTGTAAATCTAAGAATCTTAAGGGCTAATCTGAAATTTCTCGAAATTTCAGTTTGAAAAATGTTTGAATCTTCAAATCTCAGTAGGTAGGAAATTAATTTTTGTTTATTTGACATATGGTCATGGTTTGGAGTTAGTATTTTATAGAAAATCACTTTTTGGCTAAGACACTACTTGCTTAGTATTTTAATTTTTAAAAATACGATTTTTGATGAAACTGTAAAATTCTTTTCTAATTTCAATACTTGGTCAGTCAAGAGTCTTAGAATTAAATTGAGAATTTTTGGAAGTCATTTGCTATTTTAATTATTTAATATTTTATATGCTGGATATACTGAAAGTAAATTGAAAATACATAGCACCATGAGAAATAGATGGATAAATAATACTGAGAACTTGATCAACACAATTTTAGTTTTCACGATTGAACAATTCAACATGAGGCTCCAATATCGGAATGAAGGTCTCTAGACTCTCTTGACGAAGTCCAACGTATCATCACTAACATATCATTACTTGCCATCTCTTACTTCATTGTTTCTCAACGTCCTTAAAATTTATTTAATCTCTAGATTGTGATTTCGTATTTCGTGCAACTTCACTCGTGTGATGCACGAAAGATATACGTCTGTGAACCTCACCGTGATCGCACAATTCGTGAAAACCTTTGGACTTCTTTTTTGTTCTCCTTTTGTTATTGTTATAAGTTACGTCTTTTTTATGACTCTAGCTCTTTATCGACTTTCCTCTAACAGTGAGATTTAGCTGAAGAAATTGACTTTGGCTTGGAGTGGAGATCGCAGTTGTTTTTATTAATGAAAATGTATAATATTAATAATTGAAATGGTCATTGAATTTTTATTTATATATTATTGATAATTTTGATAATGAATAAATATATATTTAAGAGTATGGGGTTAGTATAGTAAAATTACATTATTTAGATACAATAGGTTTTTTAGTTATCAAACAAGCTTAAACGTTCAGCATGAAACATTCAGACACTGTTCTTAACCATTCAGTTATGTATTCAACATTCAACGCTTAATTCTATCAAACGGAGCCTAACTTTCATAGGAGATCCTTGTTAATTGTTTTAACATGAGGGTTTTTCATGCAGGGATGGTTCTTGCAAAAAACCCGTTTATTAATAGTTAAAAATAGATATTAGATTCAAGGGTATAATTAGAAATTCATCTTTTACTTTTAATAAATCTCTTGACAAATAGTTTAAATAATCACGAGATTCAGAAGATGTAATTAAAGAATATTTATTGATGAGCTTCAAAATGCAGTTGTCAGTATGTAATGTATTATTTTGAGTTAAATGCAAAAATCTCCTGTGTTAATTCTAATGAACTGATGAATAAACACTTGGATAATACTGTCCAACCTCTAAAATTTTATGATCCAAATGAAGTTTTTAAAATTTTCAATTAAGTCCCTAATATTTTCAATTAAGCCCTCTTCCCCAAATGAAAAAAAAACCACATCGACACACAAATACACACACTTTGATTTTAATTCTCTGCGCACCTCACCTCACCCCACCCCACCACTGGCGTCGCCGGCTCCGTTCATGGACTGAAACCCCTCTCCAACCAAACTTCTCAATCCCTAACAAAATTATTCCAAGAAAAAGAAAAATTCAAAGTCATGATCCACAATTTCGACACCATTACACGTCGTTCCACAACAATAAACCTTCTTCTCTCATCAACAAAACAATCACTCAATTCCAGATTTCTCCACTCATTTTCTTGGGGCCATCCATTTCTTCGATTTCCCCAAAACTGATGTTAACCTCCTGTTATGCATTCCATTTTTGCCATTGTCGTGGTTATTGTATTAAGTTTTTTGAGTTTTCCGGCGAACCGGCGGCCTTGGCAGGAGGGGAGGTGGGTGGGGGTGGGGCAGTTTGGGTCCTTGGAAGAAGATGATGAGGTGGCGTTGTTTAATTGTTTCATGAGTGTTGATTCAGAGGGGCAATTTTGTCCTTTCACGCACAAAATGTACGAAAATTGTACAAGTAGTCGTACACACAACGAGTGAATGACACACAAAGATAAGGATGGTGCATGGCTTTAACTATTGATTACAGGGTGATTTTTGCCAAAAAAAATTATTCCATGAAGGTGTTTGGTCTTTAAGATTAACATAGGGGGAGCTTTTACATATTGGTTATGTATTTGACATTGTAAATTGTCATACAACAAAGCTCTGATATTCATTGAAATTGAAACCACAAGTCTTGATCCAATAATACAAATCTCATCATCGATTAGTCGCCCCCAGTTTCGAGGACTGGATTTACTCGAAAATTTTCGCAAACAAGACTGGAAAATGATAATACAAAACGATCAAATAGCAGAAGCAAACGAATGATATACGTCATTGTTATTGAGAGAGAGAGAGAGAGAGAGAGAGAGAGAGAGAGAGAGAGAGAGAGAGAGAGAGAGAGAGAGAGAGAGAGAGAGAGAGAGAGAGAGAGAGAGCAGTAAGAGGATCATGGGTGCTAGAGTGTGGCAATAAAACAATAAAGTCCAAAATCAATTTATTTAGCTTCACAAACCAAAATAAATAAAAAACATACTCCAGTATTATTCAACTCCTACCAATAATTGAAATGGATATTTGTAAATCCTTATTGCAGAAAACATAAGAGAATTATCCAGAAAAAACATAAGAAGAAACCTACCTATATAGTATAACAAAAGACACTTATCGAAAAATTACTCGCGGCTTGGGGTGAACCATGTAGGTACGGGCATAATTCTTGTTATGCTCTTGACATCACATGGGAAAAAGCACGGGGATATCGTACCTTCTTGATAGCTGAAAATTCCCAAATCGTGGCCCCCGTAAATACAATCAATCCACTCCGGTGGACTAAGAACATCTGTATAGTATATTGAATTCGGCTTCAATTCCGGGAATTCAGCGGCAGGTAGCGCAAACCCATGGTTCAATCCGATGAAAAAAGCAAGCCCGTCCAACGAACCTCCGTCCATGTATCTCAATGCTCTATTATCCTCGTCGTATTTATGAACATCGAACCCAATTGTTTTGTATGGATAACCCAAATCGCAACCCGTAACCGAGTTCTCGTAGTTTACTTCCACATAGGACCCGTTGGTGTCCACTTGTTCGAGAATGAACCGCCTTGCAAGGAAAACATCGCCGGATTTCTGGTCGACGACTAGAAATTTCACGGTTCGGCAGAGCTTTTTGAGCTCCAGCTCCTCCTTGGATCGGGAGGCGATGGGGTAATTCTCTTCGTCCACGGACAAATCAATCGGAGTCAGCATTGGGGAATCAGGGTTGCGAAGATCCCAAGCCTCGAAATGGCCGAATTGCGTGACGCAGAAGAACAATTTGTGTTTGGTGGAGTAGACAAATGACATGTAAGACCTTAAATTTCACAAATTATTCAATTTTGACCCAAAATTTTTTTTGGTGTTACAATAATAATGAGTACTAACTGCATAAAACCCCGTATAATCTCGAATTGCCAAGAAACGCTCCGTGTAAAATAAAATTTGCAAGGACCCTTATATTGTGTTTTAGAAGGAACACCGCTTCCGTACATCGAAAATTGTGGTTGACTTACATGAGATGACTAAAGTATTATACTAATAAACTCTTAATGATATTTCAATTTTTAAATTAAAAAATTGGCAAATGGCAAAAAGGCCCATCATATGGGACTTACATGCACATTGGTCCACAAAAAAAAAAAGTCTCTCAATTAAACCCATCCTTATGTCTCTAGTCTAAATACCCTCCATAATATAATTCTTATCAATTTCACCCACTATGCTCTAACTTTCTTAATATTACACATTGACCCCGGATTTAAACAAATATATCACATTAACCCCCAATTTTTTTTTTCAGAAAATAAATTTTTTCTGAATTTTTTTTTGGCCAGATTCCGGCGTTGAATTTTTTTTATTTTTTTTTGAAAACTTTTTTTTCCTGAAATTTTTTTTCCGGCCGGTCAACCACCGTTGACCGCCGATCTCCAGCGTTGACTTTTTTTCAATTTTTTTTTCTTAGAAAAAAATATATTAATTAATATTACTGTCTTGCCTACTAAATTATTGTTTCAGACAATAATATTACTGCTTGGGACAGTAATATTATGAATATTATTTTTCCGAACAGTAATATTATTGTCTAAGACAGTTAAATTACTGTCAAGACAGTAATATTAATTAAAAAAGTTTTTAAAAAAAAGTCAATTAACAGTTAAATTACTGTCTCCGACAGTTAAATAACTGTTCGAGATAGTAATTTAGCAACGAATACAGTAATATTAATTAAAAATATTTTTTTTTAAATAAAAAAAGTCAATTAACAGTTAAATTATTGTCTCCGACAGTTAAATAACTGCTGGAGACAGTAATTTAGCAACGAATACAGTAATATTAATTAAAATATTTTTTTAAAAAAAGTCAATTAACAGTAAAATTACTGTCTCGGACAGTTAAATAACTGTTGGAGACATTAATTTAGCATCGAAGACAGTAATATTAATTAAAATATTTTTGAAGAAAAAAAAAATTCAATTAACAGTTAAATTATTGTCTCCGACAGTTAAATAACTGCTAGAGACAGCAATTTAGCAGCCAAGGCAGTAATATTAATTAAAATATTTTTTTAAGAAAAAACTAAATTATATATATAAAAAAAAAGTCAACGCCGGAGATCCGGCGGTCAACGGCAGTTGACCGGCCAGAAAAAACTTCAGGAAAAAAAAGTTTTCAAAAAAAAAAAAAAAGTCAATGCCGGTCAACGGCAGCGACCGGCGGTCTCCGTGGCGGCTGGTCGAAATTGGGGTCAAAATTGAATTAGGGTTAAAATTGGTTAATTGATGAAATTGGGCTAAATTGGGGTGCAAATCATGAAATTGGAGTTGAATTGGGTTTCAATGAATTGGGGGTAATTTTGGTATATATAAAATGATTTTCCTTATTTGCAAATAAGTTTGAATGGCTGGATTTATTTGAAAGACAAAAAAGTTGGATGTCCCTCTTTTAATTAAGTACCCTTGTCATGGGCTTATTTGCCATTTGCCCTACAAAATTACGGTCACACCTGAGGTAAGGTTAAATTACAAAAAGAGCCCTCATGTTTAAATAATTATTGTCCCCCATCAACTATGTTTAAAAAATCCCTCCATTTGATAAATTTAGGGGCGTTCATTCGGTAAATATTGTACCGAAATTTTGGTAGCCAAAATTTCACACCGTTAGGGGTTCGGTTCAGTAAATAACCGAATTACCAAAATTTTATTAAACATCTGATTTTGTTTTAATTAATTTTAGTTTAAATACTAATATTACATATATAATTATATATATATATATATATATATATATATATAATAAATTGAATATCACCATTTTTCTCCAATCAAACTTGTCGAGTGTAGAAATTACACCTACTTTTACTAGGATTTTAGTTGACTAAAAAAGACTAAAAAAGAAATTGTATACTATATGAAAAGTTTGTTTGTATTGAAACCCTACGATGATCCTCCGACATACGGCTGATTTCTTACGTATATATGTACACGTCATAAGTCAACATTGAAGGGATTGGATTGATTACTTTTGTTAGTTTCTCCAAACTATCGAAGACTATTAGAATTGCCTTACGAGTATTATTAGGGTTTCTCGAGTATTAGGGCTTTTTTCGTTTTTTGTTCGTTTACGTAGTTTCGATCTACAGATATTGACATGCATATACAACGTTCTGAAATTCAGTTTTTTTTCATTGCAGAAATGTAATTTGCTTAAGGATAGAAGCATCAATTAATGCTTTTATGTGTTCTTATTAGATTAATTAGTTATTCTACTGAATCATATCTTGATATATCAACTGATACTTCATTATATAATATATATTAACTTAAGTAAACATTGTAATCTGTGTGTAGCTAGTGTGTGTCTATATATATGTATGTATACACACAGTATGCAGTACTAGCAGCTTTGATTATGCATACCTTGCATGCAGCAAATATAATTAAATTTGAAATTCTTGTAAACTCAACTTCTTTTACAATATGTATAAAATTGATCATATTGGCTAGCTATCCCAATCTCGACATGATCGATCACATTCGCGGGACTTCACAAAGATAAGCGGTGGTCAAATAGTAGCTATATTTTCGTACAAGGGTAAATTACAAAAACCCCCCTGAGGTATGGTCAAATTACAAAAACCCCCTCTTGTTTGGATAATTACATATACCCCCTCAACTTTGATTTTTTTCTTACACCTCCACCCTTATTGTGCCAAATTCAATATAATCATCTAGATTCCGTGTAATGTGCTCTAGTTTGTATTCGTTTTGTGTAAAAATACAGTTTCCGATGCACTACAAACTGATATACACAAGCTAAAAATCACATATTATAATCATATTACTTCATAATGTAGAGTTTGAATGGTATAAAGCCGGGTACAAAAGTGATAATATTTCATATAG